TCCCCCCCTGGCATCACCACGCTGCTGTCTGTGCCCATGGGCTAGGCATATATGTTCTTTGGCTAATCTCTTAACCTTCTTTCATCCAGTCCCCCTCCCCTCTATCAATCTGTTCCATGCATCCATGCGCCTGGTAATATTTTGATTGTCAGTTTATTTTGTTCATTAGATTCTACATATAAGTGAGATCAGATCAGTCTTTGAATGATCAGCCCACAGGTTGATAAAAACACCACTAATGGAAACATTTTCAACATTTACTGTCAATAGGCTCCAAATACACTATCTTTGATCATTATAGGTAAAAATAAATAAATAGTGCACATGTAAGGCCATGACACTCTATCATACTTCCCCTTTCGCTTGTAGTAAGCAGGGCAGACAGTATTAATAGCTGGACCAAGAGGCTAAGGGGACCTCTTGTAGCTCATCCCGGAATGCTCTAAAGGAGACCTTCTTCACTATCATTAATATTCTCCGTGGGGTATTTATTACGAATTGGAGTGGCAGTAGTTTTCAAGATACTTCTCCTTGTAAAATAATCTAGTTATGAATCTCATTAATTGCTTTGAGCATCTCATTTTCTATGAGTCTCTAAAAATAATTGTTTTGGGTGGATTGTATTGGTTTCCCCATTAAAATCTGTGAGAAAGAACCTGTTTTTTGGTCTCAGAACTCAGTATTAACCCTTTTTCAAATCCTGGATTACTCCCATTTTATACCAAGTTTTTTAAAGGGTTTAAAAATTCTCACTGATACAATCATCTTTTTCCTGCTGCATTCTGTAATTATTAATAGTTATTTAAATAGTTTTCATAATATTTTCCTGTTTTGGTTTTTACACAGTCGGGACTGATTTATGAAGTTTCTCTGTTCTTTAGAAACTCAGCATGAAGCAGAACTGAAACCTCCCCTTTTTCTTCAGTTTTCCTTTCCTTACTCTGTTTCTTTTTCTCCACTTCATTATAGCCTTCAGCTCTCGAGCAGAAATAGCTCTTCTAAGTTTGGTGCTTTGTGGCTATTCAGAGTTTCAGATTAGCTGTGCTATGGAATGGCCCCGCTCTGTCATTCTTTGGAAGAAATTTCATGGACTCTTTGGGGTGTTCTGTAAGTAGCAAGTAGAAATGAGTTTAACAGGTGGCCTAAGGAATTTCTTGGTCAAGCCAAGAGGTCCATGAAATTTAAAAGTTCGAAAGGCGTTCTTGGGAACTTGGAAAGGTTTAAGGGCAGTATGACAGCTTTTACACTGAAGTTGACCTTTTATTTGGACTGTTTGAGGGTGCAGAAGTAATATTTTCAAAGGCATGGACATGGCAGAGTTGGCTCTGAAATGTAGCTTCAATTCTAGACTTTTTAGTTATCTCTCAAATAACTAGTACTTCAGTCCACTATTTATTAAATGCTAACTGGTAGCCAGTTTTTCATTGAGTATATAGGATAATTATGTGTTCAGTCCTCAGCAGTAGGTTGTGGGATGCAGAGGTGTAAGCTCTCTTCTGTATCTTGGAAATGCATTCAAAAGAGAAAGCAATGAAAGGCAGCATATCATTATTAGATGGCAGAGTGCAAATGTTGTAAGCTCATTAGGGATTCAGAGAAGAGCTCTTGGAAGAGTTGGAAGTAGTGAGGAATCATCAAGGGGGAGGTAGAATTAAGATGGGCCTCTCAAAATAAAAGAAAATACCAAGACAGCAGGGTTTCACTACTTGTGAATAAATGAAATGGCCTGGGCCCGATGCACCTCTGACTATGAGCATCATATCCAATCTCAATTTTATACTGAACAATATTAACAGAATCTCCAGTAATCATATAATAAACCGTAGCCCTTTAATATATCACATATAAAGAAAAAGTCTATTTTAGCTTAAACATTTTCCTTTACATGTCTATAACACATTCAGGATGCCTATTAGAACAACTTTTTAGGTTACTTACTGTCTTGAACAGGAAAATAGCTAGATGTTTTTCTGTAAATTACTATGACTCTCCAGTGATCTGCTCATTCGCAAGCAGATGGATGGGTAGCACCAAATTTGCCAACCTTACAGTCACTGTGCTATGCCCCAAGAAAAGCAGTTTGTCTGGACAACTGGTATAATAATCGAACTCAAAATCAAGATTTAGGCCAAGTGATTCTGTAGAGATAATCTTTCACAGTCAGCAGTATGGTAGATTGTTAATGGAGAGGTCATATAAAGTGAGAAGTTAGTTATTCTCAGTTCATTGTTCTAATTTAGTTCAGTATATTCATTTAGTTAAGGCTTTACATATTGATACTTGGAGAGAGATATAATCATTAGCACTTTTTAAATTTTTTATTTACCATTTTGTTCTTGCTAGAGTTCAGAAAGGTGATCCCATTTGGCAGGAAGAAGACCTGAGGCTGGTTACTTTTTGTCATTTAGTGTCCAAAAGGTCAGGGTGAAGTGCAGTGTAAACCCTGGTCATGATGTTGTTTTATTTATGATATCATAGAACCTTTCTTACTTGATCAGTAGGCTGCACACAAAAATAATAGTAGCAGTGCTCTTTATGTTGCTGAGCCACAGAGCTGCTTTTAGCAGTCACTTTTAGATTTAGAGATTGTAATCATTTCTTGGGGTCTTACATTGCCATTATATTCCTCTACATTTGATGCAAACCAACTATGTATCCTTGTTTATTATTCAAAACATGAAAGCTGTTAGATCTAAGCAAGATGTATTCTTGGGTATTTTGAAATTCTAAGGGCTTTCTCCATTGCAGAATGAAGAGTTCTGGAAGAAGTATTATAAAACTAACCCACTAAATGCTTTATGGTTGAATATAGCCTCCTCTTTCTGCTTCTTGCTACAGAGCTACCCATCACACTCCTCAGCAGACATCAATTCCAGTCTTCCTCCAATGTCCACTTTCCACCGTAGTGGTACCAACCATTACAGCACCTCTTCCTGTACGCCTCCTGCCAACGGGACAGACAGTATAATGGGTGAGTCTTGGAAATGCCAGCTCTGATGCCAACAATCAATGTCAGAATTACAATGAAAGGCCTCCCCCCATAATGAACAGCAGTCAGGCAACAAATATTTGTCACATAACTGAACAAACAAGTGAACCACACAGAAATACTCATTAGCTTGACCGTAATCACATTTTTTTCCCACAAGAAACTAAAATTTGGCTCCTTTGTCACTTGTAATTTGAACAGGATTTAAATACACCAAAACCACCGTGCTTCTCACACACTCAAACAGCAAGCAGAGTGAACTTTTGTAAGACAAACCATTGAAAACGAATGATACAAAGGGCACGATAGCCCTCAGTGGTAGTTATCGACCACTTCCCAGACTCAGTCACTGTACTGTGTGCTCTTAGCCATGGACGCACAGCCTTCTGCAGACTGGTTCGTGTGAACTCACAGGGGACTAGTACTAACTAGATGAGCCCACCTTCTGAAGACTGTCACATTGCGGAGTCCTTCAGAGGGGAGAAGTGTCGTTCACTTACAGGGGAGGAGAGGCTGGCATCAGCGGGCCAGGAGTTACCTGCTGCTTTTTCTAAGTAAATGTACTCCACAAGTTAAGACCCGAGAGAAAGCCACTGCCAAATGCACTGAACCATCGCCGCCTCTCATTTTTCATGCTGTCCATTGTGGTCCTCTCCCTAGGACAGGTGGTTCCCCGTCACACTCTCACCTTGAAGGGAGAGCTAGCAGGGTGTCTAGCTGCCCAGGGAAGAAAGAGTTCAGGCTGGGGAGGTGAGCACCCCTTCTGAATTGGCCTTTTCAACCGTCCTTGTCACTCAGCATACAGCCTGATGCTCCAGGGCCATTAAACCTCAGACTTCACTGACCACCAGTACTCTGGTTCCAGCTCAGACCCCTGTCTTGCTGGGCCTGTAATGACCTGCAGTGGGTCGCCAGTGGGAGCATCGCTGTGTGTCTCGAGGAGACGTGTGACGGAATAAGTCTGCTCTTACTTCTCCTCACTCCTGGAGTTTTCCTTTTCTTTAGTCTGTGGAACTTTGGGAAGTAGTACGAATCACTTAGGTGGGAGAATTTTTGATTAAAAAAAAAGTGTTTTGAAATGTTGCAAATATAATCCTGCCTAAATAATACACTCCGTTTATTCAATACTGTATTTCACACTTGAGATGTGCTATCTAGTAGCCCTTCGCTATCACGCCTCATTAAGAAGCAAATTTAGGAATTTCCATTTTTGTAACTTTTCATAACAAAGCTTCTACAAATGTGTTGCCTGAGGTTGACCTTGGAGGGCTCTGGACAGAGGTCACATGGGGAAGTTTTGTAGCTATCAATGCAATTTTGGCAGATTTGAAAAACAAGAAGAAAGAAGTGCAGAACTGAAAGAGTGAGAAAAGCATATTTCACTTCAGTGTGGTTTGGCAAATGGAAAGCCCCTTCTGCAGTCATGAGGTCTGGTTAGAAAGAAGGGTGACCGGTCATTCGTCCTCTTACATGGCAGATTTCCTGTCTACTTGTGGTTTGAGTAATTTTCTTTTTTAGGAAGGTATGAAGATGGAGCAAAAGCTTGGGTTGCGGAAAACATACTTAGGCACTGTTTGAAAAAACATTTTGTTAATTGATTTGCAAGACAGTCTTCCTGGGAGACGGGCACTAGACTTGGAGGAAGGAGAGGTTGCAAGATGGAGTAATTGTCCGTGGGCTGTGGTTAGCAAAGCCATGAATCCAGTGGGAATGGGATTTGCCTTAGGGAAGCCGGTTGGCTCATCACTCGCTTGGATGAGCAGGAATAAGGTCCGCTCTCCTTCATTTGGCCTGGGCAAGGCGCAGCCATGGGCTCAGGATGGACTTGACTTGTTCCAGACCATAGAGGCCTGTTTAAGTGGAGGGAGTGTCCAGATAATAATAAAGAAGTTATCCTTTTAAAAGGGAAAAGTGTGAGATTTTTGGAATCCAAAAAAGGAATTTTTGGGGAAAAACATTATTACATAAATTATTCCACAGTCATGGGTGCACTTGTCAATGAGTAGAATGTGAAAAAGGTTTATAATCTTTTCAGGAAGCAAGTAGACATGGTAACTCAGCTTTTTGGAAGAACAGACCTTTATTAATTTGCATAAATACAGTTATGACTTTAGGATTACTTTACGGGAAAACAGTCATGTTCTCCCTTAAAATATGCCTTCCAGTTCCTTCAGTTGAAGTGCAAGGGAAGATCTGGGTCTGATGATAAGCTTCGCTGTTGCACAGTGACTGTGTGGCTCCGGTTTCTTTGCGCTTTAATTCCCTTAGATTTTGGCTTGATTTTCAGAGTGTGGTAGAACTGAAGGGGACAGCAGCGTGTCGGTTTAACAAGAAGAGAAGATCTCTCTTTTGTTACTAATACTTCCCTAACAAACTGTATGGTTTAATAGGATACATCTGTAGACTTTTGAAAATATTTGGCATATACTCACTCATTCTGAAATGCAGGAAATAAAGAAATATTACATTGCCTGTATCGCAAAGAACAAACAGAGCTAATTAAATAATTGGTAAATAGGGAACACATAGGCTGACACATGTTTACGATTACACACATGATTCTGTAGAAAATGGCTGTAAGCAATACTAATGCCTTAAGAATGGGCTCAAGCGCTAACACATGGACATCAGATTTTTCAAGTTTTCTTGGTGTAAAGTTGCAAGACGCTGCAATCTTTTCATAACCAACACTGATGTCTTAGGAAGCTGCTTTTTCCATTCAAAACATTATTGCCCCATTTCTCAGTTTCATGTTATAATGTGTCTTCCTGGTGGTCAAGGATTGTCCTGAACTGATCCTAGGACAACAGGATACAGGTAGAGTAAGATATAAGCTCCAGGACCGTGGAAAGGAAACCTCTCTGGAGTCAGGCTCCTGCCTCTGGTTCAGTTCTCTGCATCTCGGAGATGGAGGGTGCTCACCAAGGTTTGGGATGGCTTGTGTTCGGTTTGGGGAAATGACCATTGTTCCTTGGGTTTTTTGTTTTTTCCCTTTTAATTCCCAATACCATTTTTGAGAAACCCTTAAGGAAGGATAAAGCTTCCTCAGATTATATTAATGATGGGATTTTTTAAATTACACATTCATCCATGGATTTTTGAGAGAACTGTAGAGTAAAATATTTCACTCATTATACATAGTTCACATTTTTCTCTGACGCCTTGCCAGCGAGATACGTTAAGCACCCTAGAAGAATATGAGTGTAATGCATGGACACAGCATGGATTCATAGTATTTTAACTGATGCAGCACCCAGTTAACGAGAGAAGCTACACCTCGGGGCTTCAGGAGTTACCAGCATCAAAGCCCTTCAAACTTTATTCCTACAACCCTCCCAGTATTATCCTGCTCTGTGTATCTGAGAGACAGCCCAGTCCAATGCTTCTGCATGTGAGTGACCTTGCAGACAGAGAAGGAAGTGTAGTAAGTTACTAGATTCCAGCTATAGAGGGTAGTAGCCATACACATTTTGTTATATGAATATTTCCTTCCTACCTGCAGCATCCAATAGCCCTTCTCGATCAAAAGCATTGAGACAACTGCCTAGCACACACAGACCCTAATTCAACTCAGGGAGGAGAGTGCTCCAGTTTCCCACTGGGAGATATCATTTGTAGCCATTCCCAAAGTGTGAATTCTTGTTGTTTGGGGCTATACATAGACCCTCCCTTCCCCTCAGGGAATTGGGCATACAACTAGTATAATGCGTATAATTATGACTATTGTTTTATTGGTCTTTAACTGGCTTGCTTTCTTACACAAGGCATTTCCCATGTTTTTAACCTCAAACCAAACAGTGTTGAAGGAACAGACTACCAAGATGGATTTAATACAACATATGCTAAAGATTACCCTGGAATATCTATCTGGTTTATGAATTAATCTAGCTTACAACTTTCCTTTCTAATGATATGTTTGTGTGACATGATGCACTTGAGTATGTGGCTTTTCCAGCAGAAACATGTCAATTTCCCCTTGAGGACTTGGTTTCACAGTTATTTTATTATTAGAGTAGTCACATAAGGTTTACTTTGTCTTTTACAACAGTCTTCAGCCTCCCAGTACAGTGGGTGATGGACAGGCACAGAGCTAAGAGTGTGTGAATGTCATCCCGCAGTGTCATGGCATCGTAATTACAAAGACCACTCACACAAAACAATATACTTGTTGGTTTAAGTCCATTTCCTGCACAGCATCATGGGGCCCAACTTTCCTGCTGAATTCCTAGAAATCCTCTTGCTAAATTTAATACATTATAGCCTGTAATTGAGGTTTAGTTCTAAAGTTAAATGTAATAGGAGTGCTGGAGATGCACCTTTTGTTGTCATTTTTATAGACAAGCTCATGGCATTGTTATGCATCTTCTAATAGTTTAGTAACATGAGGGTCACTTGGACATAGCTCAGAAAAACCTAAATTTTAAAGTAGTTATTTCTTTCAGGCAAATACACTATAAATTATACTTCTCATTCCTTTTATATCTTCATGATGCTCCCAGCCTAAGGTTATGGGTGTGCAATAAAGGGTGACATACTTTTGCAACTCTGATTTTCGGTAGTTGATCGCCAGGCACCACTCCTCCTGGTGTTTTGATTGGGGTGTGTTCTAATGGGAATTGCCATTTCCCCAAAGCTGAGATTGAGTGCAAGGGTGGTCCAACACATAGCCCAACATACCAAACCCTTTTCTCTGCTCCATCCTCTAGCCAGCAACAGCACCTGTGTTCAAGCCGTCCAGACAATGCTTGGGTGGCTGGCCGTGTGAAATCCTCCTACAGAATTGCAGTTCCTCTTAATAACTGCTCATCTTCCACTCATATTTATTTAAAAACCCTGCTTAAAGATTAGTTTTTCTTTTGAGCAAGAAAAATTGATTAGAGCTAAAATAACTTAAGTCAATCCAGAGTTTACTTGTAGGGACAATAGTTTTTATCATTTCTGTCATATAGGCACTTGAGTAATTGCTAATAATACGAGTTCACAAAAACTTGGGCCTAGAATAGTAATCAAGTCTTGTTACATTAAAGACCAAAGGTGGATTTGATGAACACAAAGTTTAATTAGAAGTGCGTTTTGTTAAACATGACCCATTACTCAATGTAAAAGAAATTATACCTTTGAGAATTAATAATATATTCACTTTCTGATTCTTTATTCCTGTTGACGTATCAGTCACAGAAGTAAAAAGAAAACTGTTTGGCAGAAGGACCCATTTAGCTTAACATGCTCAGGGACTCTTGAAAATGTGTCTTCTCCAATGTTTCCTGGAACAGAACAAAAGGCATTCCAAGCGAAAGGGCAAACTGGCCCTAGTAAACCGCTTTGAAATTTAAGCCCCTGGGTTTGACTCTCCAGCTGCTGCTGCAAGGTGGAATGGCCTCCTATTAAAAAATAGTCTGTTCTTATCAGTGGTTGCCATGAGTAGCCTTTAGTTTTCTGAACCATTTTTATGACAACATGAGGTAAGGAGTTGACTCTATTTTTTATTCTACCTCATAAGTCCTAACATCTCCCTCTATGTAACAGGCACTTAATATAAAGTTTAATATGAAAGGGATCATAATGATTATATGTGCTTTCTTGTAAAGTGAGATTTTTTAAATGTTATATATAATTAACTTTTTAATATTCCTAAAATATTTCTATTGGTTGTCTGTTTGGTTTCATGAAAAATTATTTTTAAACACTTATTACCTTAATTGTAAAGTTGTTTAAAGGAAGAATTAATGTTTTGAAAGCCACAATGGTAGCAAATTTTATCTGTAATTGAAATACTATCTTGTCCTATTTGGGTTTCAGTTCTTTTTTAGGTAATGTAATTTTTCCATTGTGGCTTTGAACTTACATATCATGAAGATCTGTTTTCTAATGAAGCATATATCACAAATTATTTTGACCAATAAGTCTAATGTTTAGGTATATATGATATGTTACTTCTGTGAATATATACATATATATATATAATTGTCCCCAAATATTATGGTAATACAAACTGAAAAAATATTAGTGCTCTCTGTTTTCAAGATCTTTATTATTTTCTCTTTAGAATTATCTTTAAAAAAAAAAATCTTCTTAATGCAGCGATTTAATTTTCACAGCAGATTAAATTTATTTATCTCCTATATTAAGTATTTTTAATAATCTTGATATCTGTGAATTCCTTCCACTGGCTCAGCATGATGCCAGACCATATTTCAAAGATTGCTTCTACGTAAAATCCTTAGTACTGAAAACTGATACAGAGACGAGCCTTTTAATTTAAAATTTTGAAATTACAGATTATACCTTCACTTCTTCTAGGACAATGTCAGGTACTTTGTAACGATATATTTTTCATATAAGTTTGTGGTATGAAAATGAGTGTCTTGTCCAAAGGTGATTGTATGCTTTTCACCATATACCAGTGATCTTTCAGTGTTAGTAATAACACGTGAATACGGGGGTGGGTTTTGTTAACCAAATAAAACACACATCAGAAGATTACCAACTGACATACCCAACATGTAAATATATAAAAACAGCCAGCATAATTTACCTGTGCTAAGCGGAGGTCAAGGGAGTGAAGCTGTAACTGGGAGGAGCGGAGAATCGGCCACTTGGGATCCGACTCCGGCGCGTTTCAGACCTGGAGGGGCAGGGCTACAGATTTCAGAAATCACTGTGCAATAAAGTTTTGCTTGGATTAATCGGTGGGTTCAAGAGTTCCTTCTCTTATTTCACAAAATATTGAAAAACATCTTCTCCTGGAGTTGAATAGGTTTCATTTAAATCCCATGTCAGCTCAGCAGCGCTGGTGCCTGGAGGACTGTAACGGCAGGTGCAGGCGCTGCGCTGAGGCTGGAGGCCTCAGAGCACTGGCCGTCCCATCGCCTTTGTAAGGGGAAATTCTAAAGGCACCTTACCTCCAGGGACACTTGCTAAGTAGAGCTGGCTTTGAATTATATGCTAGAACCTATGTATTTTATTAGGAGTACTCTTTGTTCATCTGTTTTGTAGATAAAAATACCAGTGTTTCAGATGGAGAGAGAGCTTCATGATTATGTAGACTGGTTTTATCTCCAGAATCAGACCATATTGACTTTTAGTAGATTAACAGTTCAAATTTTTTTCATCTGACTTAAATATGTGGAGAATGCATGTTATTTCAAATATTAAAAATATTTTCTCACCTAGGAAGCTAGGCCTGTTGTAGTTTTTTTAGTTTTATTTTGTTTACTGTGGAACTCTGAGAGGAGTACATCTTTCTGCGATGTATCATTTTTTTATTTGAAAGGATGTGTAAATTGTGCGTGAGGAGAATTCAGTTGACTATCCAAAATATAAAGAAAAGTCAAACTTTGAGGGCTGCAGAGACCTGAAAGGACTGTATACTGCTTACCTACTCCTAGGTAACAGGCGGCCAGGCAATAGCAGCTAAAACACTATACCTTTAAACCAAAGTGTCAGGCCTATATTTTATCTGTAAAAATGTAACATGAATATATTTGACATCTACCTCAGCAAACAAATTAATGCTAATTAAAGATTAATGTGTCATAATTAGCATTAAAAATGCAATTAAATTGTGAGTAAATGGACCAGGAATAGAAAATTGTTGGGCGTCTCACTGCCTGGATTTTCATATTCTGCCTTTTGTTTCTGCAGCAAATAGAGGAAGCGGAGCAGCAGGCAGCTCCCAGACTGGAGATGCTCTGGGGAAAGCACTTGCTTCGGTGAGGCAATATTGACTTTGGACTTCACAGGTAGCATTGGAGAGGGCTGAACTTTAATCAGAAGTGGACATTTGGAATTTTAGAAAATGAATGGCAAATAGCTCTGATTTTGGAAATGCTAGCTTTCTTGCATAACGATCACTGGAAAATTTGAGGCGAGAGCTCTGAAGCTTCCAGTGCATGGCTGGTCTCTTCCACCCTGTCTCCTCACAGTGGTGCTAAGTGGTTGGTACTCAATTACAGACTGGATATTCTCAGAACCTTTAGGCGTATAGATTTTCTTTCTTGATTTCTTATTTCTCTCTAAAGGCATATAGGCGCTCATTGATGATCCAAGACTGACTTTGTAAGGGGAAATTCTAGAACACTGGAAAAGGCATTAAAAAAACAAAAACATAATTGAGGTCTATAAGAAATTGTCACATATTTGGCACCTGGGGACTCAGCTTCTCGATTTGACTGCCCACCGCCAAGAGGCTAGACTTGAACACGTCCTGCATGTTCACTAGCAACAGTGGCACACTTTATTTGTGTGAGGAAGGGTGCCTGGTGGTGTACCAAAAGCTAAACATGGTCATTTGCAAATGTTAGTGGAGATTTGTTGCTCTAATGATGTAACTCTTCAGTTAGTTTTTCCTTACCATCGCAAGCATAAAATGTTTGATTTATATTAGCATTTTGACCAAGTAAAATTTTTATTTAATCTGGGCATTCTTATGTCTTGGAGTCAAATGCCTTAATCATGCTGAGGAAGGAGTTGGATGGCAATCTTAGGGATGATACGGTCTGACCTATTTTACCTGATCAGGTAAAACAAGGGAGGGGATCTCTCTGTGGCCTGCTCACAGCCACACAGCCTCAGGAGGAAATGGGAGGAAAGGGCCTAGAAATGAAGTCTGCTGACCTCCAGTTCAGTTCTTTTCCGACTATCTTGTGTGACTTCAGTAATTCTGATTTTGAAAAATTAAAATGATTAAGTATTTCATTTTAGACTATTGATATTATAGTTGATTGTTAGGTGTATTTTGTAACTTGTAATTTTTAAATGAATTGCATTAATACTTTGCAATTTACAAAATTGTTGACTATTAGTTCCTAATAATGAGAGCTTGTTTTCTTTTCTCCCATTGTTTTAAGATCTATTCTCCAGATCACACTAACAACAGCTTTTCATCAAACCCTTCAACTCCTGTTGGCTCCCCTCCTTCTCTCTCAGGTACTGTACCTCCTCCTGGGGCATCGCAGGGCCAACCAGGGGGAGTGATCGCCCTCTTAGACGTCCTGCGCTAGGTGAACTCCCTCCTCCCACAAGCTCCAAACAACATTTCCAAAGAGGCAGGAAGGAGTAGGAGAGACAGACTGTCTTGTGGAGGCAGTCATTTACATCCAAAGCTTTTCTTAAAAATTAGATGTTTTTAAAATACATAGGCATGTGGAAAACTTCTTAAATTTTTCCTAGGTCTCTAGAACATACTCAACAAAATAACGTATTCCAATAGAGCATCTCAGATGAGGAAAGGTAGTAAATACAGTCATGAATATGACTGCACACAGTCATCAAGTACAGATTATTCAAAAGGATCATTTCCGACAGAAATTTTAGACTTTCCACATTCCCTCTTTGAAGTCCGTGTCATTGGAATGTTTGAGGAAAACTATACTCTTGTAAATAAATTGTGAAGTTAGTGTGTGGAATAAAAGGGGATGTTTGCCTTTAAAAATAGCAAATTATATGACCTATGGCTTCAAATAATAAAATTATAAGTTCCTAAATGATGTTAGTAAAGCATTCACTTTTCAGAGGCCCATTTAAAAGGCCCATTGCCCTTCCAGTATAAATGCTTCCAGAAGGCCCTGTCTGGTGCCTGTCTCCACTCTTTGGAAAGAGGGCAGGTGGCTTCTAAAACAAAACTGAGTCACATCTGTACCTCATTGGAACCCGCCTGTCTGTGATTTATAGTGCACTCACTGCCGAAGCGTTGCCCCCCCCGCCCTCCATTTTACCCTGCATGCAGCACTCACCCGGCCCGTCGCAGCCTGGGTCCCCTGGTGGAGGGCAGCGGCTTCAGAGACCGCAAAGCTTCCCGAGGCCATGGCCGTGGTTTGGGCGGGGCTGATGTCAGCCTCCCCAAGCCTCCGCTGACATGTGGGTGCGGGGCCACAGAACAGAGACCATTTAAGTCCAAATGCCCCAAGGGACAAAGTTGAAACTGGGAAGAAACAGATGATGGTAAGAGGGTAATAGAACAGCGGTGAAACATTCCCCGTAACAGAAAAGGAAAGGAAAGCTCAGAGTTGTTAGCTTAGTACCACGTTGTTAGGCTCTGGAAAGTGACCACAGGCCTCGGTGTCCAGAGCCAGGGGACGGTCGAGACGGCATCAGCCCAGTGAGGCTTGTGAGGGGTCTGAGCAGGGAGAACTCCAGGTCCGCATCTCAAGCTAAACAGCTCTTGTCTGTTTTATAATTTGGGAAAAAATCTCGGGAGTCTAATAAAGCTTAAGAACAACTATTTTAGTCTGATGATCTGCTTTTACGGATGAGTGTACAAGGCCCAGAAAGGGCACGTGACTAGCTGAGGTTCCATCCGTAGCGATAGGAGAGCGCAGGCAGACTCGGATGCTCCCCACTTCCAGGTCAGTCGGGGCAGGACGCTGTGATGCACGAACCATTCCAGAGAACCCCCAAGTACCCCAAACCTGAGCAGTGTGCTCTCCGTGGAAGACCAAACCAGGCCACTGGGGGGCCTGGTAATCCATTGTGGAAGACCACATGTTAGCAAGGAGGAGCTTTATGAGGACGCAGACATGGGGACAGATTGCTGCTTTCACACCAATAACCCTGACTAGATTCTGTCACTAGAAGTAATTGAACAAAATATTATATTTTTATTTAGCATAAAAATACACACACATTCCCACCCAGAAATGACAGGAAGAAGGAATAAAGTGCTAACTGTGTCAGGGCATGAGATTTCATTGAGATCATAGATTTTATTTTCCTTTCTTGAATTATTTATTTTCTACACTGAGTATCTGTTATTTTAAATTTAAAAGTGGGCAGTTAGATGTATAATATTTATTATAGCAGGAATCTTTCTTTACTTGCAAGTTTAGTGAATCATAAAAAAATTATTTTCTTCTGAAGAAACTACTTGCTTATTACTGTTATTATATTGAGTTTTTACATTTCTGGTTTTGTGGATCTCTGCCAACTAATCTTATTTCCTTAAGAAGTTTCTGAAGGCTTATTCCTTCTTAAGGATCATTTTAAAAACAAACTGCAAAGCTGTTTTTCATTGGTGAGAGAATTTTGGTTTCACAAGCAGGCCTTGCGTGGAGGCATAACAAAAGCCCCCCTTTGCGCTCTTAAAAGGGCCTTGACTGTGTAGTGATAGTTTTCTTCAAAGGAAAACTTTTCTGGTTAAAAGGCCTCCTTTTGGAAGCTGGAGAGACTTCTGAGTCTGTGTAGAGCCTACGTGTTTTACATTTAAAATGTTTTCCTTGCCCCAGAATTCTTGGATGGGAGTTTTACATGCATTTACCTTATTGTCCATGTGGAAATCACCATTGCTGTTTCTGAGAGAACTGTTTAAAGTGTTGGTGATATTATCTTTAAGATTGTATCATTCACATTGTAATTCCCATTTTAATATCAGCAGGTACAGCTGTTTGGTCGAGGAACGGAGGACAGGCCTCATCATCTCCTAACTATGAAGGACCCTTGCACTCCTTGGTAAGTCATCTGCTCATCTCTACTCTAGCCACTTTCAGGCCCTGTTTCTCTTTTAGTCTCTAGTTCACTCTCCAAGATTAGACTCTGTTTGTTCCCGTGTGTAGATTGTAACTGAGATACTACAGTGTAAGCCCCAGGGCTCTAAAGATCTAGGACCACATAAAAGGTCAAAAATCCTGGAAGGATGATGGTGCCCTTCCTGTCTTGGGGATGATCTCTGTCAGTGATTAAATAACTTCCCTGATAGGAGCTGCTGAAGTTGCAGGGAAGCTGTGTAGCTGCAGCATTTGAAGATCCCATATATCTCTGCTCTGCTTCCCAGAATAACAGCTTTATAATTTTCTTCTTGACCTTGGAACAAAAAGCCTACCAGTTCCTCACTCACTTTGCTTCTCATAGAAATCTAGTAATATCAATACCCCTCTGCCCTTCCAGTAGGGAGAGCCGAAAATTCTCATGGGTTGAATTAATATTATAAGTACATGATGATTCAGTGTCTGACACTCTAGGCCTTCCCAACTCACAGTGATGGGGCTGGAATTATGCATGAAACACCACCACTCTGTGCAGTATTTAGACTGTATGAATCCCATGGGGAGGGGTAGCAGCAAGGAGTGCTTCAGTCTTTGCATGTTGTTTCCCTCCCCTCCCCCCATATTTTGAGATGGAACATGAAAGAAGACATAAATTTCTCTACCTATCCAATTTATTGTGGTCTTGTCAGCCGTTCAGGGTTTCCTTGCCTTCTGGCTTACTGTTTAAATTAAGGAAAATCTAAAAATTAAAGCACAAAGGTGTATTTCCCCCTTTGTTGTTCTCTTCCTGCTGTGGTGTGTGAATCACCTAGCTCTGCATTTTAGCCAGTAAAGGCAACCATAGAGTGAGACAACATATGCACTACCCACCCAGCCCAAGTAATGTGCAGCCAGTGTTTACCTCCGTCAGTTATTCTCTGGGACCCATCTATCAAAACTGGGCTTTGTCCAACTCTAAAACTGTAAAGACTGGGTTTATAGTTGTGAACTGCAGCTTTAGCTCTCGTTGAATTCTCAGCACTCAAGAGGGGATTCGCAAACAGAAACTGCTCTCTCCACCAGGAAGCTGTGAGCCAGAAAGGATGCTAGGCACATGTATTATTTCCTTTCATGTTACATTTATACTTGGAAGTGTATCCATATACATACATATATTCATTCCCATTTTATAAGTTAAGAAGCGTAGACTCAAAGATGTTAGTAACTTTTCCAAGGTCACATTAGTAGCCTAGCTAGGAGTTTAGGGGAGGTCCCCGAGCACCAAAGCCCACCAAACCAGAATGCTCGGTGCCACAGACTGAATTAGACACACATTCTTCCTGTCAGTACAGAAGAATTAGAAAGTGTTCTTCTCTGAGGTAGAGCTGGTACATCTGTTTGCACAGCCCATTGGAAATCAGAGTAGAGTGTAGCATGCTGTAGCACCAAAGGCCATTAGATCTGAAGTCTAAAGACTTAGATTTCAGCCCCGACTTTTTCATTTCCTGGCATGTGACACTGATTGATTAATTAATTCACTTAATGTTTTGAGCCTCATTTGCACGTCTATGTGGAAGGGATACTGTTGTCTTCCCTGCTTGCCTCACTCATGTAGGATGAGGGCCCAGTAGGATGGTATATGTTAGAGTGCACGCTGGAGAGTCCCATGCAGATGTTCATTTGATGTCATTATTGATCACACTGAAATAAATGAATGCGCATCTACATGTCCCTGTTCACCCAACACTACAGTATAGACCTTATCTAGTTGCAGAAAAGTTGGATCCTAATGGCTGGGATGAAAAAAAAGATCAGTTGGTTTTTAATTGTATAATTTAATTGTATACTATAATAAGGACTTTGAAATCATTTAGAAGCCCCTGGTAAACATTAATTCAAGTCTTTATGATTCTTCAGTCTTAAAATTTTATACCATGTTGGTTAACAGAATTTTTGTAATTTTTTTCTGTAATCATATTGAGTCCCCACTCCCTTCTGTACCCATACACACGTGAAAATAGATGGAAAGCAAGAAACACAGGTAAAAGTTGATAGTACTCAAGAAATTGCCATCTATATGTGTTTGCCTGTCCCTGACTTGATACTTAGCACTGTATCAGTGTCTCAGAGGGGACCAAGGAATGTGCATTCAGGAGGATAATTTAATTGGGAAACTCTAAATAGGCCACTTTTCCATTGCTGATTTTTAAAAATCTTTTACCAATGCTTGTCAGAATGTTCCTTAAATTCAATAAATGTTTTTCCTTTCTAAAGTAAGTCTAAGTTCTCGTTCAAGCTAATGCAATATAGGATAGCATATGTACATTAGAATGTCCTGGAAGAATTACTGAATTTACTTCGTTCATGAAAAAGAACACAGTAACTATAACATTAACATTTGTCACCGGTTGTCTAGGAAGGACCCTATTATTATTATCATTTGAAGGAAGTAAACTTCATTGGAAACACATTTAGAAATTCAAAGTGAAGTTTGTGTCAACTCAGGTCTTACTTATATAACCTATGCATTAATTTCAAAACTAAATCAAATTTCACATGATTTATTGGCCAACAGCAAAGCCGAATTGAAGATCGTTTAGAAAGACTGGATGATGCTATTCATGTTCTCCGGAATCATGCAGTGGGCCCATCCACAGCTATGCCTGGTGGTCATGGGGACATGCATGGGATCATTGGACCTTCTCATAATGGAGCAATGGGTGGTCTGGGCTCAGGGTATGGAACCGGTCTTCTTTCAGCCAACAGACATTCACTCATGGTAAGTGATGAAATTTATAGACTCTGTTGTTATTGTATAAAGTTAGAATTTCAAGTATAAACACTGGTGCTGTTTTTTTCTTTTTTAAATAGCTTTATTGAGATATAGTCACTTAACATGCAGTTCACCCACTTAAGGTGAATTTATAATTCAGTGTGTTTTAGTTTATTCACAGGGTTATGCAACCATTGCCACAGTCTAATTTTAGAACACTTGCCTCCAGCAAAAAGAAAAGAAATCCCCATTGCCATTAGGGTCACTCTCCATTCTTCCTCCTCTCCCCCACCCCCACCCTCAGCCCCTGGCAACTACTGATAGACTTTTTCTATTGATTTGTCTAGTCTAGATATTTCCCATAGAGGGAATCATACTTGTGGTGATCTTTTCTGACTGGCTTCTTTATCTTAGCACAGTGTTTTCCATGATTGTGCATCTTTTATCATGTATTAGTGTCATTCACTTTTATTGACAAACAATATTTCATTGTATGCATTGTATTGATCTTTCCCCAGGTTGTGGATATGTAAGTTATTTCCACTCTGGCTATAATGCCCCTATGAACACTCATATACAGGTGATTATGCGGACACACGCCTTCATTTCACTTAAGTACATACCCAGGAGAGCATTGCTGGGTCATCTTGCAATGCTTAAATTCTTCATCTTGGTGACTTTGGCTAAAAGACCCAGCCATCTTATATTCATGTTACATTACTGGCATTTCAGATATGAATACGTTGATTTTTTTTTAAATTAAAGAAACCAAATCAATGTCTTTGGATTCTGAGTAGGGAGGTAGAAATATGTGATGGGGTTTGTCTAAATATATGGTGTGGACTGTGTAATTGAAGTATATCGTAGTTTTACCACTACCTATTTACAAATAAGTCTGTATGTGAATGCTGCTTAAGCAGATTTGTCCACATTACAGTTGGATTTCAATGTTGCACACTACTTTTGGTAAGGATTTGGGAGTGCATCCTTTTGGGGATGCTTATGAAGGTTCAGAGACTCTTCTTAACAAAGTATTAAGTGATGACAATTAATGAGGTGTCCAAATGGTTGGAGAATTTAATGTTACTAGTGATTCTGTATAATTCACTCCTTATTAACTACTAAAGTAAACACTTTAGTGTCCTGTTTTGTACCGCATGGACTCTTAAAAAGTTGCTTGGTTGAAGGTCTGTTTCCTGTTACCCCTAAAGCATCTCTGTTTAAAGATGATTCTGAAAGGAGAATGCAAAATAAGTACAGGTTATTCCGAGGCTCCTTGCTCAGGAGCGTGGCCCTCCTTTCAATTTCTCTTAATAAAAGACTAAGACTAAGAGTACCATCCTGAGCAGTGTATTATGGAAACCTGCAACCAATTTGAAACCAAAAATAGTGGTTTATAAATAGAAACAATGAACTCACTTCTAAAACGTGGAAAGATATTTTTGAATGCCAAAGCTAAATCATTTTTCCTTTTTTGCTTTTCCTTGACCTCTACCCCAAAAATTCATCATTGAGTAGAAATTGTTTGTCTATTCATGGCAGTTGCTAAGAGTTAACAAAAGGAAAATCTAGATTTTAATTTAGCTTGGCCTCAGGTAATGTGTTAAATACACTTGGGATACATATAATATGAGACTGTAGTTTGTACAGCTCTTTTTTTTAAACTACAATGTTTAAACAATACTGCTTTTAATTAAGAAATCTGGCTTTATTAAAAGCCAGATCTGTGACTTATAACCATTTCTGTATATCTGCTCTCAATCAAGAGAAAAATAGTTTAATTTCTGTAGCTGTATTCGTTTTGCATATGTTAAACGGATGCAGCATGCACCCAGGGCATTGCTTCAGAGCTGTTTTTTTCCATAAATATGTAAAGTTTGCTCTTAAATACCAGATGTAGGTTAAGCAGTTCTTTAAAATAATAAACTATACATAGATGCTGTTTGGAACTAGGTGACCTTTGAGTTGCCTTCTCTTTGAGGCTGACTCAGAGGTGGAGTAGGAAGAGACTAGAATCATCTTTGGCCATGGGAAGCTGGTCAGATCCAAGTGAAGGGGAAAGAGAGAGAATGGCACAGCAATAGAAAAGGGGACCACTCAGCCAGGATTACACAGGAGTGTCTTTGATTTTTTAAAAACTATGCAGAAGCAGTAAAGCTGCTAGTTTTGCTGATGAGGAAAGGTTCTTGCCTGCTCCTCTGAAGACATTTATAATCCCATCAAAGAACCGCAGAGCCCGCGGGACAGAGCAGTTCCAAAGATGGGCCACGGCCACAGCCTGCTGTCCTTGGAACCAAGTGGACCCGTGCAGCCCTTATTCCCAAAAATATTTCATAGCCCCCAGGACCCGAGCTCCTCTGCCTGGAACTCCACAGCATGTGTGAATGAGATCGGGCTATCATTTCTTTCCTTGTGCAGACTGGTATAAATTTTCAAACAAAAACCCAAGAACAAAGGAAATAGTTTTTGAATTCAGTCAGTCTGAAGTTAGCCTTTGACCATTTGATACGTTCCGCAATAAAAAGGAAGTTGAAGGGGAAGAGAGAAAAAACCCACCCCCTTCCCCTCAACAACAAAAAAAGTCAAGGAGGATACTGGTAATGTTTTCCACATTTGAATTTTAATACATGAAACAGGCTATAAAACTTTGGCCAGCTGCAGTAAATAAAGTAGCAGTGGGAGGCATGCGCCGGAAACGGCGCGGCGCTGGGCCTCCCCGCACACCTTGGGCTGCGGCCGCGGGAGCGGGAGCGGGAGCGAGGGGCAGGAACCGAACACCAGCGGGCAGGTTTTGTCCCAGCAGATCTCCTCTATGGCTCTCCTTAGTAATGCCTCCTGATTAAAGAACACGCAGCTTTGAATCCTCTTGACCTCCGCACTCTTCTTGTTTCCTCTCTCCCCGCCTTCTGAAAATCAAAATGAAATGGCTTGATAACTTGGAAGATGATATAAGCATTTCTTTCTGCAGCAGCTTGAAATCGTGGTAGGGAAAAACCGTGGTTCTGCCTCGGCTATTATGTTATCTCATTTAATTGCTAACATATTGTACTTAGCTTTTGATTCATAAAATGTTTTCCTTGGAGTTCTGAAGTAGGTCTTCAGTGATTTACTAAGTATTAGTACAATGAAAGGGGTTTTTTTCACAGCAGCATGGCTCATAACTCTAGGGTGAGTAGTGTAGATTTGTGGGCTTTCTCGATGATAGTATCTGCCCATGCTCTTTCCTGCTCAAAACCTTCACCAGCTTTCCATTATCTACAAGATAAAGACAATTTTCCAGCCCAGCTTTTAAAGTCCCGTTACCATTTACCAAAAGCCTTATGTTTAGATATTTCAGTATGCAGAAACTTTTCAGCAGTACTAGTCTGTGCATGGTATCAGAATTTGCCCTGTGTGTTCTTACAATCTACTTCTTTTGTATCTATCTGGATTGGCTGGCTCTGTGCACTTCTCTCTGTCCATCTCATCCCACCGTTCTCAGAGCTCTTACTCAAATTCTGCCTTTTCCGGGAAGCCTTCCCTTGCTACCTCCTCCTGATGGTCATTTTATTTTTACATTCCTAGCACTATGGATATTTATCTTATCCAATTATGCATAGCTATATATACCTTTTGTAGGTATGACTTACCAACTATGTTGTAAATTCCTTAAGTACTAGGTATTGCATTTTGTTTTACTCCCAGTAAACAAATCATCACTCAAAAAGGAAGAAAGGAAACTAATATTTTCTGAGTGCTTGACAAGTTGCCAGGCCCACTGCTGGGTGCATCATATACATTATAGAAGGCAGTCTTCACAAGAGCTCAAAAGGGTGGTAACGGTGTCCATTTTAGGTATTAGCTGAGTCTTAGAAGGTTTGAGTAGTCTCAAGTCATGAAGCTAGGTTTAAGCTCAGCTATATTGACCCCATACTCCATGCACTTTTTTACTACCATGAGCCCTCCCCAGAGATTATCTGTAGACATGCCTTTTAAGAATTAATTTCAGGTGGTAAGAGCTTGTGATTTCCAAATCTTGATAAATGTTTGTTGATGAAAGAAGTTTCCAGGTGTCTCATGGCCAAGTTCCCAGAGCAGCTCTCTACCCAAATGTCGAGGTGAAGAACTTTCCCTCCCATGTGGTAGCCTTCTAGATTAAAATCCACACTTATTCTTAAATCACTTTGTCTGTGGAAAGTGGCAAGAGTGTCAACTCGTCTTACTAGGGTCCTTGAAGTAATAAATTTAAAGTTAATTTTTCTACCATAACCATCACTTTTCTAATAGACTCTAAGCAGAACCCTCTGCGTGTGGGAGAATTTAGAAACAGCTGGATTTGTCACTAACCTAGTCAGAAACTCTTACTCAGATATAATCTCCTCTGTGCCTCCAATATCTCCATGGTTAATCCTGATATTAAATCATTAGATTTTTTTTATAAGTTATTGAAGTGGCAGTTTTCCAAATACAATTCTCTCCCTTAATCATTCAGTATTCAGGTTTACAGATGAGCCCTGAAACAGAGAGCCTTTCAGATGACCTAATCTCGCCTTTTAACTGAACAGAAACAAAACCCACATCAAAATTGTCTTCATGTGACTGTATGTGTGCCTAATTACTTGTCAGTAGAGTCAGCAGCTATAGAATCATTTAGCTAAAAAGCTCCTATACTATTAATATATAATATTAATGTGGTTCCCAGATCCTTTTTTCTTAAAAGTCCACTTACTCGTTTCAAAACCATTTGTCAAATGGTAACCAAATGCCGGGTTTTATGCTAATAGGTGGTGTCTGCTCACAAGGGGTTCACAGGCTAGTAGGAAAGGACACACATTTAAAAACAGATTGCCATTGCCTGGCCGGCATGCCTCAACAGTTGAGCGTCAACCTGGGATCCAGGAGATTGCAATTCGATTCCCAGTCAGGGCAAATGACCGGGTTGCAGGCTCGATCCCCAGCAGGGGCCGTGCAGGAAGCAGCCAGTCAATGACACTCTCATCGTTGGTGTTTCTGTCTCTGTCTCTCCC